TATACATCTAAAATTGTAATGAATAGACTAATTATGTGGTTAAAGTATATGCAAACGTAAATTAGAAAAAAAATATTATAAAGCAAAAAATGTTGTTTACAAAATCTATGGTAATAATGTAACACTGTATTAAATATTGCGCATTGAAAATTATTTTATTGTTGAACTGTCTATTTTCTGCATTTTAAGAGTTGTTAGATTAAAATAGGTAAGAAAACAAATAAGTTATAATAATTTTAAATACTTCATTAAAAAAATATTTGAAGTGTATTTTTTGGTTTAAAAAATACAAAAAATAGAAGATCTTGTAGTATCTTGTTATTTTATATACATATTTTGAAGCTTTTATATCCATATTATGAAAATATGTTTAATTTAGCTTCTAATATTTGCTAAATTAATTTTTATTTGCAATGATTTGCAAAAATATTCAGGGGCGGATCCAGCATTTTTTGGTGTTTGAGATAACTTCCAGACATGGAGCAAACTCCAAACATTTACATGTTTATACTTATATCAAATAAGAATGGTTTGCAAAAAATTGCGATGATTGGAGCCTGGGAACAAAAAAGCCCTAAAACTTGAGACGTACCTGCCCCAAACGTGAGAGCAACAAGCTGATAAAATATTTTTTGTACTATTCTCAACAAGACTTACATTTATCCACAAATTTTAAATTTCATTGTAAAATATTTCAGCGTTCAAAAATTATGACCATGTAAAGTTTGAATCCCCCTCAATACGAGGGGGTCACAATTTTTATATGGTCATAATTTTTGAGCGCTAAAATATTTTACTATGAAATTTAAAATTTATGGGTAAATGTAAGTCTTGTTGAGAATAGTACAAAAAATATTTTATCAACTTGTTACTCTCACGTTTGGGGCAAGTACGTCTCAAATTTTGGGGCTTTTTTGTTCCCAGGCTCCAATCATCGCAATTTTTTGCAAACCATCCTTACTTGACATAAGTATAAACATGTAAATGTTTGGAGTTAGCTACATGTCTGGAAGTTAGCTATCTTAAACACCAAAAAATGCTGGACCACCCCTGATATTGTATATAAAATATAACATCGCGAACAAAATAATACAATATGTTATAATATAATGAATATTTTGATTCAAAAATAAGACTATTTAATTATAGTTAATATTATAATAATTAAAAGTAAATATTTTTACATAAAATAAATGAAAACCTATTGATAAATTGTTTTGTTTTTAACTTTAGACTATTTTTATTATGTCAAGCATTAATAGAAATCAAATCCATTTATTTATAAGAGAAAACAAATTATCATTATCAAATGAAAAAGATAAGCTGGTAGTTTTTAATTTTATTAGTGAACAACTTGGCAATTCTAAATGTAATGTTCAATTTTCAAAATTTACTTTTGAATACAGAAAGCGATGGGCTACAAGTGGACGTTACAATGATATATATTGTTGGATAAAAATATAGCCTGGCTTTGCAAAGACTTTATTAGTCCCCAACAAAACTTTTCTTTATGCAATATCCTTATACTACAAAATAAAAAAATAGCAACAAAATAAAAAAATAGCACCTTCATAAAAAATGCACACATCATATCAGTACTCATGCCAAATTTAGTGAATATAGCACTCGTAAAATATCTGCAAATACCAAAAATAGGTTGTTGCTAAGCAAAATAAAGGTATCCATAGCAACGAAATAAAAAAAACACCTTCATAAAAAGTGCAGACATCATATTAGTACCCATGCTAATTTTAGTAAATATAGCACTCGTGAAATATCTGGAAATCCCAAAAATAGGTTGTTGCTAAGCAAAATAAAGGCATCCATAGCAACGAAATAAAAAATTAGCACCTTCATAAAAAGGGCAGACATCATATTAGTGCTCGTGCTAACTTTAGTGATTATAGCCGTAATATAGAATTAGTTATGAATTTTGTCCAGTAAAAGTGAATTCTGGCCCACTGTGCATTTGAGGTAATATGAATGAGCTACAACTTTAAAAGTAATTAAATAATTTAATTAAATAAAATTAAATAAAATAAAATATTAATTAAATTAAAAAAAGTGAGTTTTAAAATGTTAACAAAAGTGTTTAAAAAATAAAAAATAACAATTTGAAACAATAAAACAGGAATATTTGAAATATTTAAAAAAATATTATTTTTTAAATTAAATCGTTATCAAATTAATCAATTTTATTTTGTTCTCATTTAATTGATTTTTAGATTAAAACTTTTCCAAAGGGAAATTTTTAGCGGAATTCCATTTTCATTTGAATGAAGTTTCATTCGATTGCGCGTGCAAAATTAGGAAATATTACTCGAGCTCTTAATAAAATAAGTTTCTAATCGATAAGTAATTCAGTACTTAAGATTCCTAAAATTTGACTTAACATGATTAGCACGGATCCTTATAATGTTTACCTAGCTGTCCCAAGAACCCCGCTTATACGGAAAATTAGCTTACACATCAAGGTACCCTGTGATGCAAATTTTGAAATCATTGAATTTTGTCGGCGGAAAATAACTTAATTTAAATGTTCAAATTAAGTCAAATTTTGACTTCATAGTGCGCCAATAAAAACTTTTGTAAACAATTTTGAGTCAGACCAAACTCTGGACAAAATTTCAGCCTGATTGGATGACTGGTGTAGGATTTATTGCAGTTTTAGTTAAAGTTTTATCAGTTTTTTGCTACTTATACCTCAAAGCATTACCAATTTCTTTAAAATTCAGCCACTATTTTTAAAATAACGGTTACATGAGTGTTGTACTATGTAATACCAACAATTTTTGTTATAATTATTTTATCAGTACATGTACAGTTTTCATTTTATAAGTTTTCATTTTATAAGTGTATTTGTAAGTGGAGGCCCGCCGGATGCTTTAGCCAGTAGAATAGTTCCTTCCGGAGATAATTCTTTATTGGAAATAACTGGAGATTGATTTGTTCGGATGATTTGGCATCTTTGGCTGCTAAAGATTGAATGTTTTCCTTTAACATTATTTGAGAGCATTGGTGGGGCAAACCTTTTCCTAAAGGGCTGAGGCATTTGCTGCAACGCACCTTTGGTTTTTTCTCAATAGTGGTTAGCTCTATAAGAGGATGTTTTTGTTGCAGTTTTGAACAACCAATTCGGCATATTAGGCAACAACACATCGTGCCTCTTGTTTCAGGTCTCACTTGTATTGACTTAAAATCAAAGAAAGGAAGGAGTGCAACTTCTTTTTCCCCTCTTGTTTTCTGCGCAAAGTAATTCTACACAATTCGCAGAATCCTTATGGTACCCTAGTATCACTGATATCGATCTTGGTCTTGTACAGTTGGCATTTTCGATCGGCTTGAAAAGTAGTAAGATGTATTAAATATTTTTTCAGACAGAGCAAGCACGCAAACTTTCGATTTTCATCATGATTCTTTGCTTGATTTGGCATCGTGGCAATTCACTAAATTTGACTTCACTAAATCAAACTCTGTCTTTTACAAAATTTGACCTAAATTTATATTTGATAACAATCCACTTAACATAGTAACACATATTATTAATTAAAAACTATTAAAATAAAGAAAATATTTACTTGATTTAAATGAAGTAATATTAAATTACAAGGAAATAATTCTTGAATAGTTTTTTCCTTACCAGGAAACAATTGTTTAAACTATTTACTTGTAAGGAAATTACATTATTGATAATTGTCACTCTTATTAAACTAATGATACTTGTCACACGGGTTGTTTTATTGCAAAACAACCCTTCAACCTAATTAGTTATTCAGTGATAGTAATTATCCTCCGACTGGCCCTCTAAACTTTGTATTGGTCAGATATCTTAGTTAATTTATCTAAACTTTTAAAGTCAATTATCTTTGTCATCATAAAAAATACTTGGTTTTTTCACAGTTGTTCTGTTTTCAGATAAATAAATATTTTTATTATCTATGTAGGTATTCCTAGAAATCCTTCTTAAATATTTTTTTAGAATGTTTTGCATTCTGCAGTAGTTTATACCTTGAAATGTTGGTATATTCACGCTATGCATACATGGACGTCAAAGAAGCCATGACCTGCCCACTTTTTTTTGCGAGGACCTTTTATTTTAGAAATACAGACAATTATTTTAGAAATTATAGATTTTATTTTAGAAATTGAGGGGTTGACCCCCTCCACTTTAAAGGCCGTATTAACGCCTTTGGCGTAAGCCAATTCAAATCACGCCCTTAGTAGCAAATCACTATTTTGGTCTCTAAAATGAAAACTGTACATGTAACGATGAAATAATTATAACAAAAATTGTTGGTATTACGTAGTACAATACTCATGTAACCGTTATTTTAAAAATAGTGACCGAATTTTAAAGTAATAGGTAACGCTTTGAGGTATAAGTAGCAAAAAACTGACAAAACTTCAACTAAAACTGCAATAAATCCTACACCAGTCATCCAATGAGGCTGAAATTTTGTCCAGAGTTTGGTGTGACTATTGGCTACATTTACATTAATTTTCATCAAATTATATTGAGTGGTTCAAATTCTACAAGTGTTTTTATTGGCGCACTACGAAGTCAAAATTTGACTTAATTTGAATATTCAAGTTAAATTATTTTCCACGGAAAAAATTAAATGATTTCAAAATTTGCATCACAGGGTACCTTGATGTGTAAGCTAATTTTCCGTATAAGTGGCGTTCTTGGGACAGCTAGGTAGGCATTATAAGGATCCGTGCTAATCGTGTTAAAGTTTCTTATAAATAAGTTTCATATTAGAAAAACGTGTTTTTAAGCAGTAGATTCGAGTGCGGTTGCACTCGAATCTACGGCTCTGCGTACATTACTTAATATGCGCCAGATCGAACAGTAAAACAGTGGGTTTTTCTTTTTCAGGGTTACCTAAAACTCTCAAAATCAATCAGTTCGTTTACAGCTCAAATTTTTTGTCAAGAAAGCAAACTTAAAAGATTTTTTTCTCATTAATAAGTAAACATTTACATTAGCAAGTAGTTCCGTTACTAACGCCTCAAAAAAAACTCGAATGGTGTGATTAAAAAGAGTTATGTTTAAAAACTTATGGCAAAATAACTTTATTTCGGTCAATTTTTATCAAAATTTTGTTGAAACAATTGCTATTTTCATTATTTAATAATACATCGTTTCACTAAAAAGAAAGAGGAGGTAAAATATTGTTACGCTTTTGATTAGTTGTTAGGGGGTCAACATAACTTATATTTTAATATTGGTAAAGTTTTAACTTTACAAAACTATAAAAAATAAAAACTTTTTATAATTTAAAACTCAAATTTAATAAGAAAATAAAAAAGTGACGTTTTTTATTTTAGAGAATATAGAAATAAAAACATCAATGTGAGAAAAAATATTAACAAAGTATAACCCTTATAGACTATCATATAGTGTGATGTTTTTAAATCTTTTCTTCATTATTTAAAAATTGTAATGTAACTCTTTTTCTTAATGAAGATCTTATTCGTTTAGTTTTCTGTCAAAAATGCACGATGAATTGACAAAATTTACAAAGATAGTTGAAACTTTAAAAGAACACGAGAAACACACCGGATTGGAATATTACCCATTTAATATTGGAAATTATAATGAACAAGTCAGTACTTTTTTTCAGTTAAATTATCCAAAAGACACGGTCGCCTTTTGTGTGTTAAGTTCACCATCATGGTTTGAAACAATATTTTTGCCTTATATAAAACATAATAAATTTTTATCTGGAAATCAAGATCCTTTGGACCAATGTATATCCAGTCTTTTTATTGAGCTTAAAGATCAATTTGCTCAAGATAGTTATGAAATTGATGTTATTCATGATTTTGACATGGGCCCCACAAGAAAACCAAAAGTTTTAGTTCAAACAGCTGGTCATGTTTCAGGTGCTGCATATTACTACCAAAAAAAAGATGTGGATTATCCAGATTGGAAAGATAAAAAATTATATGGTGTAAGTATACACCCTGTTTATGGTGGCTGGTTTTCATTTCGGGGAGTGTTAATTTTTAGAAATTTCCAAATGCAACTTGAGAAAAAGATACCTGAAGATAATTTAAACCATGAACAAAAAGTTAACCTTTTAGAATTATATAATTACAAGTGGAAAGATTTTCAGTATCGTAATGTTAATTCTCCAAAAGAAAAATATTCTGAAAAACAACAGGAATACTTTATTACAAAACCTTCTGATAGGTGGACTTTAATTAATAGCTGGAATAATTCAAACATAAGTTAAATTAAAGAAAAAAGAAACCTTCAGAAATAAATACATTACAAAAAGTCAATAAGTACGACCTTTTTGTTAAGTTTGTTACAATATAAAATTTTGTGTTTCCTGCAATTGCCTAAGATTGTTTTTAGCTGGTTTAGCAGAATTTTTTAATAAAAATTCATTAAACCTATTGTTGTTACAATTTCCAAATTTAATTGAATTAAGATTTAAATGTGAGTTTCTTACTAAAGGTCCTCGGTTTTGAGATTATCATCCTCTCAAACCAATATAATCACACAACAGTTATGCTCATAAACTGAGTTGCAGTCTTAAGGTATAAGATTCAATTTTATCTTTTAGAAGTTTTTAGATTGGAATTTATACTAATTAAACATTTTTGAAAACAATTGCACCAACCTACTAGTTAAAGACATTCTTATTTTGTATAAAATAAATTTTATTATTTGAAATATGAACACACACACACACACACACATGTCCATATACCCACATACATATATAAATATTTACTTACTACATTATAATATAAAAATGTTTTTCCCTGAATGCTGATTTCAAATCTGACAGTTTTTGCAAAACAACAATTAAAAAATTATAATAAAAAATAATAATAAGTTTTGCTGTGATAAATTTCCTTCCTTCCAAACCCAAAACTTTAGCTAATGTAATATCAGTATAATGACTTCAATGATGTTTTATGCATAGCAAAGTGTGCAGTTATATTTTTTTGTGTTTTAGATTTATTTTAATTAATATATATATATATATATATATATATATATATATATATATATATATATATATATATATATATATATAATATTATTTATAAATTAGTAGAAAATCACTTTGCAATATATATATATATATATATATATATATATATATATATATATATATATATATATATATATATATAACCCTAACCCTGATGGTTCATTTCATGCCAAGTGATGTAAGGGTCCTTTATTGACCATCTTTTTTTATTTGTACATATGTATGAGAAAAGCATGTTTTTTAAAAATTTCAGATCATTATCTAATTTCCTAAGAAAATACTGTTTAAGTAGTGGTCAATTATGCATATTATTTCACTCTTCAAGCGAAATTTTACATTTTGTGCAATATAAAAATAAAATGAGAAAGCCATCATCATCAAAATTAATTCCAGATTTTTAAAATATGACTTTGATGAGCACTGCAGTGAATAACTTTTTAACAAATCGGTTTTATACTTCATTAAGAAGAATGAATGCTATGAATACTTAAATAAAAATTTGTAGTTTACCAATTTAGCTTTTTTTATAATGGTGGTCTAAAGTTTATATTTTTGTTTTAAAATTGAAGTTTTTCGTGACTAAAAAGAGCTTTATTATAAATTAAATTAAAAATTAATACAAATCAAATCTCCACATGGTGGATAAACATTTTTAAAAAATGCTGTTAATTAGAGGGCTGTATTAAAAAGTCATCAATGTGAGCCAAAAAAATATTTTTCTGAAATTGATCTTAGATGCATAGCATCTGTTACCCAAGATAGCACCTTTAAAATTTTCCTAAAGATTTCTTATACGCATCAATCAAAAAGTGTTTATTAATTAAAAACAAAAAAATTAATGGACACTAAAATATAATCCTAAAAGATAGTCTCTAAAAGTCAGGTAAATTTTCCATAAATTTTTTATAACTTTTTCTTTCCAACATTAAAAACTAATTTAAAAGAAAAACAAGCTTTAGTTCTCTTTGGCTTTGAAGAAAACTATACTTTTCTAATGCAGGATCCAGTCCAAGGTTTCCACAAGAAAAAATAGCAACGAAACTTTGCACATCTTTGTAGTTTATTTTCTAAAAGATAAAAAACTTGATAGTCAAGGTTACCGTGTTATCAGATATATCAGATCATCTGAAATATGAAGCAGATGCTGTTCATTGCTTTATCAATAATACTATTAATGAACTTAAACACTTACAAATATTTGAGAACATTTATTCTAGTAATGGAGCTGCATTACAATATAATAATTACAAAAATACTATCAACTTATGCTACCATAAACAATTTAAACATTAGTGCAGAGTGGCACTTTTTTGTGACATTGCATAATAAAAGTCTTTTTGATGGACAAATTTCAACTTCTACAATACCTAGGACACAAAATCATCACAGTTTTATACCAGTGAACATGTGACTGCTAATATTTTTAGTATTTCAGAAGCATCAAGAGCACAAAGGCATTCATTATGTAGCAAGTTTACATGGTCACCTATACATATTATATGCAAAGTGCTATCTTATAAAGCCTAGTCTAATTGATAAAAATTTTTATAATATTGACTTGAAAGAAATCAATGAAATTTATATTTGTTTAAATAATTTAATTTTCTTTGAAATTATAATATATTGTTTATTGTTTTAATAATTTTTTGTCTTAATAACGAAAAACTGTCTTTATAGTTTTAATGAAAATACAATTTCAAAAAAATTTAAATTGTAATTTCGAAATATATTTATAAGTATTTAAAATATTTACTGTCATGCATTTTGTATTATATGAAATCAATATAATTTTTTTTCATCACTTTAATTTACAAATTGTGCATTATGATTTCATTTGTTTTTCGTTTTAAAAAATTGTGTTAAAAAGAGGGGGTTATAAGTTTTTATCTATTAGGTTTATATAATTATAAACATTTATCTATACATTTAAATTATTATTTTATAACAAATAACATTATTTATCTCAATATAACTATTTATTTTGTTAACTTCCTAGCTTTAAAAAGGCAGACAAATATTTTTAATTTACTTTTATTGAAAAATACCTGACTTTTAGAGACTTAAACAAGTTATTTATAATCTTTAAAGATTATAAATAAGTGCCCATTAATTCTTTTGGTTTTTATTAATAAACTATCTTCAATTAATGCGTATAAAAAATTTAAAGAAAAATGTTTATCCACCATGTGTAAATATTTTTTTTTTTTTTAAACATCTTCGCTTCCAACAAGGTTGAAAGCAACCACTAATTAGTGTTTGAAGTTACTGGAAGAGAAAAGATGAAGACTGTAGAGCAAGATAGCGATTGACAGATGACTTTTTTGCAATTTATATGAATCAGGATTGCAAATTATATGAATCAGGAAAGCAAGATGAAGGAAGCAAGTTCCAAAGAACTGATGTTCGAGGAAAAAAACTAGACAAATAAGTGTTTTTGGAATACTTAGGAACAGAAACAGAACAAAGATGAGACTTAATTAAATGACGAGTAACACAAGAATGAATTTTAGTAGGTGGCACAAGAGATGCTAGCTCTTTAGAACAGTGCCCATTATAGTATTTGTAGAAAAGTAACATTACGATGATTTGATAATGGTTGAAAGTTAGCTGCAAGAGCAGGTCCAACTAAGTTTACAATGCGTTTTTGCACCAAAGAGAAAGGGCATCATTAAAAGATCCATCCCAGATATGGCAACAGTATTCCATACAAAACCGGATTTGAGGTTTATAGAGATAAAGAATAGAATCCAGAGTAAGAAAGTGTCGAGCTCGATAAAGAGATGCAACTTTAGCAGATGCTAATTTTGCAACGGATTTGATATACAGTTTCGAAGAAAGATCAGAAGTAAGAGTCAATCCCAGAAGATGAAGGGTAGATGACTCATCAAGTACAGTACTGTTTATAAATATAGGAAGGTCTAAATTATTGCGATAACGATTGGCTGAAAAAAATTGCGTTTTATCTGAATTAAAGTTCACCAGCCGCTGTGAAGCCCCATGCTGTAGCAGAAATGAGATCCTTTTCAAGCTAAATTCCCTCTCCAAGCAATCAGAGGGAGTTGACTTCTTATCATGACAAGAATAAATGGTAGTATCATCAGCGAACAATGCCACCTTAGATGTGAGAATATCTAGGAGATCGTTAATGTAAATTAAAAAGAGTAAAGGGCTAAGGATTGAACCTTGAGGAACCCCTGAGGTTAGAGGATAAGAAGAAGAGTTCTGTCCATAGAGGACAACTTTTATACAACAATTGGAAAGGAAGGATTCAATACTCTTAAAGTAAGCAGCCGTGACACAGTGGTAGCGCACTTGTCTCAGAAATATAAGATCCGTGGTTCAAACCCCACCTCTGGGCAAGTTTTGCGACATCGGTTGGGAAGGAGGCGTGAACTTCCTAGTAAATGCTTTTCCACGGTGCTCTGTGATAAGTCCGTAAGGACTTCTTGGGGCACCTAAAAAAAAAAAGTTTCCAGATACACCATAAGAAGAAAGCTTATGGAGGAGACCAGCATGCCAAACTTTATCAAAAGCTTTAGAAATGTCAAGAGCAAGGGCCTTAACCTCTCCACCTTTATCTAATGCACAATAAAACCTATCGGTTATTACTGTTAGCAAATCAGCTGTAGAATGAGAAGATCGAAATCCATATTGATGATCAGAAAGTAAGTTATTAGATTCAAGATAAGAGATTAAGGTTTTGTTAATTAAAATACATGCCTGAAGAGTGATAATATGCAAATAGACCATTACTTAAATAGCAATTTCTCAAGAAATTAGATAAAGATTTTTAATTTTCAAAACATGCTTTACTCATATATATATATATATATATATATATATATATATATATATATATATATATATATATATATATATATATATATATATATATATATATATATATATATACATATATTATATATATATATATATATATATATATATATATATATATATATATATATATATATATATATATATATATATATATATATATATATATAATATATGTATATATATATATATATGTACAAAATGGAAAATTTTTTAGCAAAATCTGAAATGGTCCAGGAGGAACCTCAGAAATGTTTAATTTATACAAATGTTAGTGTAATTTACAAGTGTGCTTAATGTTTTTAAAGAGCAGATCTTTTTTACTTCTTTATTTTTTCACTAATTTGTGTGTGTGTGTGTGTATATATATATATATATATATATATATATATATATATATATATATATATATATATATATATATATATATATATATATATATATATATATATATATATATATATAATATATGTATATATATATATATATATATATATATATATATATATATATATATATATATATATATATATATATATATATTATCGTATTTTTAAAATCTGAAAAATTGTTTGGATAAAATATCCGAAAAAAATTTGGAATATGTTTTCCTTTATTTTCCTTTTACTTTAGCTTTTAGCTGAGTTGTTTTAGTTTTTTTTCAAACTTTTTATATTTTTTCTATGTGTGATAAGTGAAAAAGCTTAAAAAACAAATATATTACACAAATATAAACTTAAAATGTTTTAGATATCCAGAAAAACTAAAAGGTGAAAAAAATATCAGGAATTCCGAAAATATCCGAAATAAGATAATACCTGATATATATATATATATATATATATATATATATATATATATATATATATATATATATATATATATATATATATATATATATAAACATATACATACTTGAATGATAACTTTGTAATATACAATGCTTATTTATTTTAAATGCTTTTTTCAGATTTTGTAAAAATGTCATTTAATCTAGTTCAGTCATTAGATTCTCATCAAGATCGTGTATGGTGTGTTTCATGGAATCCTAAAGGAAACCTACTTGCAAGTTGCAGTAGTGATAGAACAATTAAAATATGGGGAAAAGAAGGGGGCATATGGATTTGCAAATCTTCTTTTGCAGATCAACATAATCGAACAGTTCGTTCTGTAAGCTGGTCTCCATGTGGAAATTTTCTAGCAGCAGCAAGCTTTGATGCAACAGTTTCAATATGGGATAGGCGTAATGGTGAGTTTGAATGTATAGCTACTTTAGAAGGTCATGAAAATGAAGTTAAATCTGTTGCATGGAGTTGTTCTGGAAATTATTTAGCAACATGTAGTCGAGATAAAAGTGTATGGATTTGGCAAACTGAAGAAGAGGAATATGAATGTGCAAGTGTATTAAGTAAGCATACCCAAGATGTAAAAGCTGTTGTCTGGCATCCAAATGTTGATATTGTTGCCTCTTGTAGCTATGATGATACTATAAATCTTTACAAAGAAGATGATGATGATTGGGTATGTTTTGATTCATTGGCTGGTCATACCTCCACTGTTTGGTCCATATCATTTAATAAAAGTGGTGACCGTATTGTATCTTCATCTGATGATAAAACCCTCAAAATATGGCAATGTTATGAACCAAAAAATATGGAAGGAATCAAGGTTAAACAAAACTCTTCTTGTTGGAAGTGTATATGTACATTAGCTGGTTATCATTTAAGACCTATTTATTCAGTTGATTGGAACCATCAGAATGATTTGATTGCTTCTTGTTCAGCTGATGACTCTATAAAAATTTTTAAACAAGATGATGCCGAATGTTTTGACAAAAGGAATGAGCCTGTTTTTAACTTGGTGGGTAATTTAGAAAAAGCACATCTACAGGATATTAATTGTCTAAAATGGAATCCAAAGGATTCCTCTATACTGGCTTCTTGTTCGGATGATATGAGTATAAAAATATGGAACTTTTCATTATAAAATAATAATAATTTTGAAGTTTAAGAAGATAGATTTTTATTTAAACTTATGAGTTGTTTTTAGAATAAATTACTGTTTTACTTTAAATTTTTTGACCTTTATCTTTTTTTTTAATTTTTTTTTATGAATGTCATATTTTTTAACTGTTTATTTTTTTCAATGATAATTTTTTTTTAATATACTTATTTTTAAACTAATGTTTTGTTTATCGATTATATTTAGTATTCTATATATTTATTTTCTTTATAATGTTTATATTTCATTTGATTAGTTTTCTGTAGATTTTTTAGTATGAAATGTATTTGAAAAACATTATTTACTTAAGATGTGTGCATTCTAAATGTCTGAGTAGCAACCATAAAATATTTCATACTCTAAAACATTCTAATAGAAGTTATAATGATCAAAATTCTCTAAAACATTCTAACGAAAGCTATAGCGATCAAAATAGCAAATTGACTGAATCGAAAAATGAAGCTGTTGTTTTTTCTACTTCTAAAGCTGCAAAACACACTGTGAATAAATCCATAGGTTATGACCCTAATTACAAAGCAAGCAATTGGCCTATTGTGGGTGGATTGACGTGTTTAATTGCTTTGATTTATGTTTGTTTTTTCTACCAGGAAGCTGGAGATGATAGTTTAGTATTAGTAAATGTTCTAAATGAACATTTTAATGCAACAGAGAGTGAAAATGAACCTAAAATTAAAAAAATACAAGAGTAATTCACAACAAAGAATTGCAACATTAAACAAATGTTATGCAGATTTATATATATATATATATATATATATATATATATATATATATATATATATATATATATATATATATATATATATATATATACATATATAGACACACATGTGTGTGTATGTGTGTGTGTGTGTGTGTGTATATATATATATATATATATATATATATATATATATATATATATATATATATATATATATATATATATATATATATATATATATATATATATATATATAGACACACACATGTGTGTGTGTGTGTGTGTGTGTGTGTGTGTGTGTGTGTGTGTATATATATATATTTGTATATATGCATCTTGTGTATCTTACATATCAATGTAAATCAAAATTACAAATCAATGTAAAAAAGATTTATTTTATAATGTTTTAATTATTTGTTTTTATACTATTACACATTTCTAGAACTGCATTCTTGAAATATTGTCTCTTTTTATTGTTGCATTATTTTTTTAGTAGTTTTTTTTTACTAATTATTTAAATGATTGCTTTTTGTTTTTAACTTTAATTTTTCTAATTTAAAAAAAATTGATAAATTTGGTTTTTAAATTATTTTTTTTTTGTGTAACTTAGCATTTTACTTTTTTAAGTAAAATAATAATTGTAACTAATAATATATTAGTTTTTAGTAATTCTTTTAGTTGAGGTCAATGAATATCATTTTAATTGTAAAATTAAAAAAATATATTCTGTTGGTATTTAGGTTCTTTTTTATTTATTTTAACCAAGGTTATATTACAGATAAAAAAATATGTTTACTCAAAAGCTAAAAACTAGCTGCAAGTACATAAGCATAGGATTTGGTTTTTTCTCCTCATACATCACATACAATTATCAAAATACTATTGGAAAGTGTATTACTGAGACTTTACCTGAAAATTTTAACTATATTCAAAAATGGATGCAATGGAAAACGAAGTCAACACTAACTGCTACTGAAATCTACATGTTGCATTTGTGTCATGTGCTTTCTAATTCACCAATGTTTCACCGTTATCACATGACATCCCTTTTAATTTATCTCGCTAGCAGCGAACATAAACTATTGCAGGAAATCTCTTTAAAACTTTTGTCAGTTGTGCAATTTCCGGACGAGATAGATGTTGATATTTATGTTAAAAAATGTAGTAATGATATATTAGTTGGCTTAGCTAGGTCAAAAGAATTGAACTTAAAATGGTTTTTACCGTTTGCTGCATCTAATAATAATTCTGTACCAAATAATAAAAAAAACACTCTTGATATTGTTTCCAGTATTCTAGAGGACATAAGGTGTTCAACACATTTTCCTGAAACCAACTGCTCAATTTGGCTGCATAATAGAATTGCAGGAGAAGTTCTTCCTGAAGATCCGATACCAAATATTATGGCTGATTTTTGCACAGAGCGAGATAATGTTGAAATCAATAAAAGATCATCAGATGCTCAATATGATTTACTTATCCTGAAGTATTTAGATGTTCTTCGCAAGTATTCAAATAATGAAAGTGTTTCAAAAAATAGGCGGCTTTCAAAAAATATAATAGCAGCAGTTAAAAGTATCATAGCAGATTGCAAAGATGATAATAAAGTTTTGTTTATATGTGGAAGTATAATTGCAAATTTGGCTGTAAACCTACCCAATCGAAACGAAATTATTCAGCAAAATTTGATAGCCGTTTTTGCCCATTGGCGAGTCACTGAAAATTTAATGCTGAATGCAATTGCTGATCGTGTCCTTTTTAATTTGGATTATAATTTTGAAAAATCATATTTGTCTGATGGAGTCTATATTTGCCATCCAAATTATCGCAGCAGTGAGAAACGATCCTCTGATATTATATTTATACATGGTATTAATGGTAGTCCGTTTTATACTTGGAGATTAAACGATTCAGTTGTGAAAAACTCAGATACATGTTGGCCAAAAGATTGGTTGTCATTGGATCATCCAACAAGTCGGATTTTTTGTATTCATTATGAGTCTTATTTAACTGATTGGATGTTAGCTTGCCCATATGATAAAAGTAAGTACTCCTTAGACGAGAAAGCAATATCAATACTTGCTAAGTTGAAAAAATGTGGAGTTGGGGATAATCCTATTGTTTGGGTGTGTCATTCTATGGGCGGACTCATTGTCAAAAAGTTACTTCTGTCACTTGAAAATAAAGTTTTGGATCAATCTATTTTACAAGTAACTAAAGGAATAATGTTTTATTCGGTTCCACATCTTGGTTCCCCTATTGCTACTCGTTGTGAAAAAGCTAGATATATTCTTTTCCCCTCAATTGAAGTAAATGAACTCAGTGAAAATTCGGCAAAGTTAAGATCAACACACTCTCGATTTTTGCAGTTAATAAAAAACTACTCTATAAATTGTACAGATCTATGTGAAGTTAACTCACTTCCATTACCTTATTTAAAAATAAATGCTGTTGTTGTTCCACGTCACTCATGTGATGTGGGGTATGGTCGTTTTGTGTTACTAGATGCTAATCATCAAGATATTTGTAAACCACACTCCAAGACAGATCCAAGATATTTAGAAGTCAATTCATTGATTAGTAAAGTTTTAATAAAAAATGAGTTTAAAAATAACAAGTGACTTTAAATGTGTACAGTTATCTTTTTTATTAAAATTTAAAATAATTAATTATACTTTAGAATAAGATTTGTAGTGATGGTATATATAATTAAATTGAATAGTGTGGGTTTAGTATAGCTGTCGTTAATCGTAATTTACCAGGGCTGTTGACAGGATTTTACCAGGGCTGTTGACAGGATTTTAGGAAACATGACTTAGATAGATTTTTTAAATATTTGAAAACATTTTTATTGAAATACATTTTTTAAATGTTTGAAAAAGTATTAGATTTTTGAATTGAACTTTGTTTAAAAAAGGTTTTAGACTTTTGGATTGAGGTCCTCTAGGTCCCTGTGATTTAGTTTACTTGACAACAGCCCTGATTGCAGCATTTGTAATGTCAGGTTATTTAATTTTTTCTTCATTTGTTTTGTATGTTACATAAAGTTAAGTGTCTAGCCGAGACCATTGTTTTTGACAGTACATTGTTTATGACCATTGTTTTTGTGTCAGAGTCATTCTGTCACTAAGGCTCCAACTAAGTATTTTGGTTATAGTATTTTTCTAGCATACAACCTTATTCACTTAAATTGCATAAACTTTTAAATTATTTTCAACTAATTTTAATTCAAAAAACTTTTTTTCATACATAAAATTTGTTATAAGCATCTAATTTTAAAGCTATGAAGAATTTATTTATTGTTTATAGCTATTTATAACTTTCAAAACAAGTATAGCTTTAAACTTTATAACTTTGGAAATAAATTAGATATGTATGCTATTAAAAAAAATACTATTTATTGGAAAAAAAACTTTTATTCAGCTTTACGCCTGCTTAAAAAATTCATTGTAAATATTCTTTTAATAATATTGCAAAAAATTCTTTGTAAATATTTAGAAAAGTAAAATGTATAAATATTTTGTATATAAAGCTATTATATTTATTTGTAATTATAAGCAATTAACATAGTTTGTTATATTTTTTGCAATAAAATGTAATTTTTTTGTGTGGAATGAACTTTTTAAAGTTTGAGCGAAATTAACTAATCAAGATGTGAAATTTACATATTCCATATGCTCAAGTAGGTGTCACGTGGGGGGGGGGGGGAGGGGAATACCATTACAACTTTTGCCGATTAAAAAAAAAAAGGTTCTTGTTTTTTAAAATTTGCCGACTGCCATAACGACATTTGCCGACTGACTGTCTAAATTTACCGACTAACTTGTGGAAAGGGTCTACATTTGCCGACTAACTAGTCTAAAAGGGTCAAATTTGCCGACTAAATGAACGAAAAAATCATTATTAATCGGGGGGGGGGGGGAGTGTCATTTCCATCGCGCCTGCCTTAACTCTTCGCTACGAATCTTGAAGCTCTTGAGTTTGACCTGAGTTTGTGCGACACTACTATGTGTACTCTCGAGTCCCTAGTAAAATTGTGGGGACTAGTTTTTGGAAAATTTCCCCACCCACCTCAAATTTATTAAACTCCACCACCCGTTTATAAAATTTTACTTGTTATCAGTGAAAATCGGTTTTAAAAATTAGAAAATAATTATTTCAGTCAATGATAAGACAAAAATTTTCATTGTAAACAGGCTTTAAAAATCACCGACTAAGTATATCTCGATTTATCGAAAATGAGCTTTCTATTTATTTCTCACCATAGTATAAAACTTATATCAACATAATAAATCCAATTGAAATTATTATAAAACAGCTGCATAGAAACTGTTAGCGCATTTGACCGCAAACTGCGCTAGATAGTTTTATGCGTCTTGTAAATATTATTAGTTTGGTGCTTTTTACACTAGAATAGTTTAAAACTTGAAAATATTAAGTTGGATTTATGAGGTTTTGACTATATGTTGACAATAAATTGAAATTAGATTTCAAAAAAAGTATATATACATCCTTTTTTAAGACCCCTTCCTCCTCCTTCATTTCTTAGATTTGGATTAAAAATTCCACCTGCATTGTTGCTCACCCCACCCTTGTATTAAGCACGCTTAAGTAAAGCTGTCGAAAATGCCCGCTCACGTACCTGTTTAATAAAAAAAATATTTTTTATTAAAGTTACTTATAAAAGTCAACAAAAACTTTTAAGTTTATAATATCATTGTTGTTCATATCCATTTTGATCTAAATTTTAAATGTTTTTATAGAAATTATTATAGAAAAGTTAAAGCGCATCTATAAACCTTATTATCGAACAGACGTGTTTTTTTCTACAGCGTGTTTAAATTCTAATACAAATATGGAAACTTCAATTAAAAACATAGAAAAAATAATAATCAACAAATTAAAAGAACAAATAAAATCTATTCTCAAATAAACAGAGAAGTTGTTAAAAGAACAAGAAAAAAGTTTTGCATAGAAACTCATTTATTCGTAGAAATAATCTAGGAATAGAGTTATTTAAAAACGTAATGAAACCTGAAGTGACTGTGAAAATACAGTAAAAAATATTTACAAAAACTACTAAAAATTGACAGGGAAATGATTGTGGAAAGATCGCATCGAAAACATTTTTTAAAAAATGTCTTCGACAAAAATTGAAAATTTAGAATTAGAAATTGAAAATTTAGAATTAAATACAAAAATTGAATATTTAAATTTAGTATAAAATACAAAATTTAGAATAAATTTAGAATAAAATACAAAATTTAGAATAATAAAATAGAAATTAGAATTATAATAATATTATAATTATAGAATTATAATAATTATAGAATTATAATTATAATTATAGAATTATAATAATATTATAATAATAGAATTAGAATAATAAAATAGAAATTAGAAAATAGAAATTTAGAATAATAAAATAGAAAATTTAGAAATTAGAAAATTTAGAATAAAATACAAAAATTGAAAATTTAGAATTAAAAATTGAAAATTTAGAATTTAGAAAAAGTTAGAATTCTTCACGTAAACATTCGAAGCCTTAATAACAATTTTGGAAATCTTTTCAAGTTGTTAAAGGAAACAAAAAATTCGAAGCGTTAATTTTGAATGATTTGAATAATTTTTCAAACTTTTATATTCCTCATTTTAAATAATTTCTCTACAAAGGCAAGGAAATAAACGCGACGGAGGAGTTCTTATGCGATATATGCGAATAAAAAAATTGTTTATTACGTAAGGAATGATTGTCAGCGGTTCCCAAACTGTAGGTCGCGACTCCAGTTGGGGTCGCCTCACAATTTTCCTGAGGTTGCCATTAAACCTTTTGACACAACTTCTTTATGCCAGTCAATAATTTCTTTCATTTTAAGTTTAAATCCAACTCCTACTTGGACTACAGTCAATTCACCAAAACAATATCCAATACTACGATTCGTTCGATTGATGTAAGGAGCCTATATAATTTAAATAGTTTTAGACATTTCAATTCTTGCAACCTATGAGCCTTTTTTTCGTCAAGAGTTGATGCTATTTCCGAGAATATCTTAGAGGATTTTAATAAATTCAATATCAACGATGCAGCAAGAAGTGATTTCTCTTCAATGTCAGTTAACAAATTTTGGTTCAAGTGTTTGTAGTCGTATCCCGTTCTGTCTTTGACTGTTTTGCGACTGCTTCTTCCTTTTCCATCGATATACCTTTGTAAAATAAGCTTTTCAAGCTTGCTGATTATCAAATCTAAATACAAAAGTAGACTTGTTGTAGAAGATTATCTGCTTTGTGCTCTAGGAAAGACTGCTACATGAATCTCTAATTTGGCCAGAAAAAAGCCAATGCAGACTTCTAACTGACGCTATTTAGGTTTTACAACACTCAACATCGTTATAATTGATCTAAATCAAGTTTTTGCTTTCTTCAATTTTATTTTGTTTTCAAATTTTATTAACTAAAGCCTCAGCTTTAAAGTTGCATGTGATTCGTTGTTGTATAATGCACATTGCAAAATGCACACCAACAAATATTCTAAAGTTTACAATACCTTAAGTGAGCATTGTGCAATCTACATTATACATTTAAAAATTTAACACATTCCAATATTTAAAGTTGGGTCTTATGAATTGTTTACCAATGTAAACATTTTGTTCCTTTGCAAATATTAACCAAAACTGTTTTTTTGATAAACTTATTATAAATAAATTGTTAAAATTTTATAAAAAAAAATATTGTGCATACAAAATATAAATTTATATAAAATTAGTTGTTTGGAAGTCAAAAATAATTTTAATAAATAACTGCAACAACGCAGTGATTAAGGAGTAACTTTATTATTTTTATTGTTGGGGTCGCCACAACTTGGCAAATGCTATCAAGGGGTCAGGGCTTTGGAAAGTTTGGGAACAGCTGATTTAAGTCTATATGATAGCGATAAAAAAATTTTAGTTATTGTAATTATAAACAATGAATCAAAAACATATTATTAAGCTGTTGTTATCGACCACCTGATGGCGCACAGTTGTCACAAAGGTGAAAAAACGGCAAAAATTATATAACTATCATATATAAACATGCGGTACATCAGTACTATCTTTTTTGGGTCAATTTTTAGTTTTTGGGTCAAAAAATTTTAATTTGCTATTGAAAATATTTTTTACGCGTACCTATGACGCGTACAACGCGCGTTTACGCGTGTAAGTATCATTTAGGAAGGCAAAATGTGGTTTAAATAAAAAAAATGGATAAATAACATATAACAAAATAACATATAAACAAAATAACACATAAAAGAATACCATACATTTTTTAATGTAAATTTTTTCTCTAAAATTTTGCTCGTACTACACATGCGTATACGTGTTAGACTCTAACACGTATACGCAAAAAAACTTTGAGTCTAACTTAGAATCTTTTACGCGCACAAAGACTGTCTTAATTTAAAAAAATTAAATTCTTAAAACCAAAGTATTTACTAATTAAAAAGAAAAATTAAAATATATTTTAAAAAAATTGAAAAATATTTTAATACTATAATAATATTAAAGTATATTAAATACAAAATAAATATTTATCTTATCTAATTTTTCTTTCAAGAAAACAAAAAAAAAAAGAATTTCATTATTACAGCATTAACAAATACAAAAATTCAGGGTTAAGTGTTTTTCCATTTTCAACTATGTATTTTTTGAAACAAATGTTTGATATTACAGGATCACTTCTTATTAACAGGTAT